GTATAGGTCAATCCCCCATGGATTTATTCCACATTGGTCTCTAAACATGTACAATAAGAAATCCAAATTTGTAACTCTAAAGAGAATGCCAAGTCTGAATAAGAATTCCCAATCTTTGAGTACCTGTTATCGTTGCATGAATATGAATGGGGTGCATGAATGGATGTCGCGTCATGTTCTGTCATTTCCAAGGAATTTACATGCTTTGATTTTGATTTTACACAGGTAAGGGATGGAAAATCTCAACTCAAGATTTACAAATATGATTCCCTGGAAATAATAGAACATATATGTAAAGCATACGGTTAACCATGCAAAGACATGGGATGAAAGTTTCATCATTTCTGAATATGATTGTTGTGTTGTTTCTGAACTATATAAATATCACCAGATCAAAGGTCCTACGTAGCTTCCGCACATACAAGAACCAAGTACCATGTAGATCATCAATTATACGGGATCAAGGCTTCTGGATCACCGGATACTGCTGATCCTTTTCTGAACATGTTGGGAATACCAAGATCGAAGGCCCGAATAAACCTCCAAATAAACAAGTCAGACACTCAGAAAATAAATCTGAGAACCATATGGTCACCATCTAAACATAGTCACCCTTTGTACTTGTAAAGAATATTCCCGCACCACTCACGGGCGAAACTAGGTCAGGGTAAGGCGAAGGTAAATCAGAATCATGGGTATGCCTGAAGCCACTATCGTTGTAACACCTACGTGAAATTATAGCACCTCATTTGTAATCTCATCTGAGTATGGACGACATGATCGTATTAGCAAACCAAAGTCGACTAGTCGGTCATGTTCCACTTTATTCATAGGGTTCCTATGGTTGTCACTTAGCCTGGGTATTGGGCCTTTTACCTCTTGTAACACCCACCCAACATGGAAAACCAGAAGCCATCACAGTAGATAATCAATATGGAAATCAGTAAAATAAAATGCAAACATATGCTCAGATATGACATGTACAAAATGAATAAACTGAAAGCATAAAATTAAGCACCCAAAGAAAAGAAAACACGAGCTAGGAGCGACTCCAGGATGGACCAACAATTGGTCGATCTCTCCCTATTGAAGTCGCCAGCTGAAACAACCGGCTAAAAATCATCAAACAATGAAGTCTCCATCGAACGTCTTTCATCCCACGTGAAGGGATAGGTGAACATCGAGAAAACCTGAGAAGGAAGAAGTCACGGTCTTGCGGCCGAGAGATCGGGTAAGGGAGCCTGTTACGTGAGAGGAAGGTATTAACACCCCCACACGCCTGTAGGACTCTACGGTATCCACTCTTGTTATCTATCTTATGGGTGTGTTTAATCTATGTCTACTGATTATTACTGAGGAAGAATGCATGCAAAAGAAAATAGAAAATAATTTAGGGAAAATAAATTTATGCTCGCTTGGGCCCTACCCCAATGCCTACGTATCCTTTTTGAGGAATCAGAGTTACCATAGTCCGATTCACATGTTTTATTTGTTTTATGTTTTTATGAACAATGTTAATTCCGCCTTCTACCGCAGCTCAACCTTTGGAGACTCACGCGTTGGCACAGAAGTAAATTAACATGTCCTTATTTGTAAATGGTTTTGAGTTACGGCCTCAAAGAAAGATGCCACATTTGATTGGTCTGTGTTTGGTTACCTTCAAAAAGGGTTTAAGTATGATTAAGATGTTTTATGATTTACTAAGAAAAATAAAGTTTTAGTTTTAATGCATATGCAAAAGGGGGAGAAAAGAGTCTAAGGGAGACTAGTCTATTTCTAATCCTAATGTTATCATACAATGATGACCATACATCAAGGATGAAAGGGAAATATCTACCTAAGGTTAGCATGCATGGTTTGCAACCTAAGGTCTAACTTGCATCTGAAAGGAACAAGCACATCCCAAGGGAACATGGTATAGAAAGTGAGTAAAAAAACAAGCTCGAAAGAGCACACACATTAAATGGTAAAGAAAAGAAGCAAAATGCTTTAGTCAAGAGGAGTGTATCACTCGAGACAAACAAGCGAGAGTGAGAAGAAAAAACAATAATATGATGTCCAAAGCGACTAAACACCTAACCAAGATATATGATATCGAGGTAGGCGGCAGAAGGTAATATGAACAATCACAGAGTGTCAGCATCGGCCAATGCAAACTCTTGACAAAGTGTGGGGGTTTGATTGTGAAACCCTTTTCCACTTGACAACTCGAAAACAAGAGTAGGCACAACTCTGAAGCATCATGGTGCGTCACAAGCTAAGGATGACACAAATGAAATTATGGGGGTTAATTGTGAACCGTTTATGCTTGCCTCCTTTTAAGGACTTATCTGTAACATATGCGGGCACACGTGTAAATACACCTACAGAATACCTACTTCAAAGGTAGGGTTTTAAACAAACACAAATAGCATACATAATGCACATAATGCAGAATTTCCCTAAACAGGTCTTTAAATAAACCAGAGGGGCTCCTAACATGATCAACAACAGAGATCCCCATTATACATCTCTAGTCCTACTTCTCATGGCAAGGAAAGTAGTAAAACCCTACTTCTCATGATCTCTAGAAAGCGGTAAAGTGCAGAAAAACGTAAAAGTAGTAGCGACAACTACCAAAAGCAAGCGGATCGTCAAAAGCAGATGAAAGCAATAGGGAAGTAGGGAGTATGCATCGAGAAAGCTTCACCAAGAAACAAACAAAGTCAGAAACGATATCCAACTAAGATAAAAGCAACGCGTGTTACGAATGCAACGCATAATCAAAAGTTCATGCACAAAGCATCATAAAATATCACATACATCTTGATAACATATAATATGATATGAATTTCTTATGACAATGATAAATAAGGCGTGTCGCATCAGAAGCAATCATAAGCCATATGCTTCGAAAGCACCAAAATGTACCTTGCACAATGAACAAACGCGTCAAAAATAATGATACACAAAGGTATGAAAATATGAATAAAAAAACTAAAAGAAAAGTTTTTTTTATTAGTCTTTTGTGTGTGGAAAATTCTATCGAAAACTAAAGAATTAATTCCTAAAATCGATTAAGAAAAACTAACAAATTTTATTGACTTTTTTAAATATTTTTTTATCATCAATTTTATAACAAAGAATAAGGAAAATGTCATGGAAATCTAAAGAGAAAATTAAACTCAATGAGGTGTTAAGCTGAAATCAGGGGATGCTGTAGTAAAAACAGAAGCTAGGCACAACCCATGGAAAATGGTCCAATAAGCCAGTTTTTTGTCACCGGGCTTGCAGGCTCCAAAAATTCATGTTGGACCTTAGAATGCATACAATTCAGTCCAGTTCAACAAGACCAGTCCAGTTTTTTTTGTTAATTCTTTGGACTCCAAAAATGAACCATGGGCTTAGGAGAATAACTTCGATCCATTCAATGGATCCAACAACACCGTTCCATTTTTATTTAATCCAGTTTTTTTTATTATTACTTAATAGACAAAAAAAAAAAAAAAAAGAGGAATTTAGGGTTAAAATTGGTTGAGACGGTTGAACTTCTTCGTTTTCTCTCATCAACCGCACGGAAGCTTCTTCTCTCCTCTCAACACATATCACCGCCGATGCCAAAGCTCCACCCGCCTCTGTCATCAACTGATATCATCTTTGTTTTGCTCAACATCACCGATTTTCGGCATACAACATCAAATCCTCCGCCTAACAAATATGCTCTACACGAATATTCAGTAGGAAAGATAAAATAGTGAAGGAGGCAAGATAATAGTGTTTACCTACCGAAGAAGAGTTCGGTGCTCCTTTGAAGGCGGCGACGAAAAAACAGATAATCAGAGGTATCACGTTCTTGACTTTTCCTTCTCTTGCGATGTCTGCTTATTCTTCTTCTTCTTCTATCCGCTTCCGTTTCCGCGATTTCGTTTCTGTGTGAATCGCGAATGTGATTCAGTCGTTGGAGTTTTGTTGTTGCCGCGATTCACAATTTTAGAATGAGGAGTTTGTTGTAACGATGTAGGTTGGTGATGATTGAAGATCGACGCGATGAAGAATAGAGATCGAAGATGATGTTGATTCTTGAAGTTCGGTGATGTAGGTGTTGCATGCGTTAAAGTGACGATTTCGTTGAAGATTGAAGTGATAGCAGTTGAAGGTGTTGTTTGTTTCAGGGTGACATTGAATATAATGAAGGTTTTTGCAGCGAGTTGATGTAGAGAAGAACGTGAATGATTGATGATGGAGAAGGATGGTGTTGCGGTTGAAGCTCTTTCAGAGAGAGCTTTCAGAATTTCTTTTGGTGGAAAATGATGATTGAAGAACGAAAGATGAAGATGATGAAGTATTCTTGCTATAGATGCAGAGAAGTGAAGAAGGTTGAAGAAGATGATAAAGTACATAGAGGGAAAGAAGAGTGCCGAGAGATTGAAGAATCTCAAGAGAAGTTTGTTACAGATTTTTGGTGAGTTTTTCTAGTGAAGGAATTGTGTATTCCTCCCTGCCATGAATATATTCTATTATGTTTTGTTGTGGGTTGAAGAAAATAGTTAGTTAGGAAGGTTAGAGGAGTTGGAATTCGGTTGATGTTAGTTAGAGAGTTGGTTAGTTAGTTTGAACAATTCTGTTAAGGCTAGTTTGAAATAGGAAGTTATGAAAGTTATGGGATGAGCTGGGAAAATTAGTTACGATACTTAGTTGGATAATTGGTTAGGAGGTTGGCAAAAATTATGTTTTTTCTGTTATCGAGCCATTACCAGAATTCTGTTAGGAAACTGGCCCTGTTTTGATTCTGAATATTGGATTATTTTGTTGGTGCTGAATTAATTTTGCAAGCAGAATTGGTATGGCATGAGAGTTGATTGCTCATGGTTGTTTGGCTATTTCTCCATAATTGTCTGCTGTAGAAACACCTTATGCAGGGTTGTAAATTGAACATGCTTTATTATTTTTCGTTTCTGAACTGATTTAAATTGGATAGTTGTCTTGTTAATTAATCTAGTTTTGGCTTATTGTTTTGGTGTAGGTTTTGAAGGCATAACATCATGGCTTGGCCCGACTTTGAGGCTAGTTTCCGAGTGCAACAGGTCACGACACTAGACTGTTTTGGCAAGGCGTGAAGATTTAGCACTTTAGGAATTTTAGGAGCATGCTTTATAATTCTTCTCCTTTTGTAAACCTTCCAAATGTAACAGCATGCTAGTTTGTGACTTGCTTGATGTAACTTTGAATGATATTTGAACATTCTAAAACTCCATCAATAATCCACATGAACCTTGTGAATTCCCTTGAACCATGCAGAAGAATGTTGTCTTATTCAAATGGCTTCCTTTTTTTCATTTATTTATTTTTACATGATATCTTTGAATGCTTCTCTCAATGTCCTTGGGTGATGCTTAACCTATTGATATCATAAAGGATCCATGTGCTCTTAAGCTTTGAATCATGCATCTAATTAGCTTGGGCAATGTTGAACCCATGACATATTAGATGAATATTAGGTTTATCTTTGGTCAAAATTCAACTTTCCAAAGTTGACTTCGATTGAAGACAAGAATCTTGCTTATGTGATGCCTTGAATCAACATTAGTATATCATATCATGATTCCATAAGAAATTAGATCAAAACCCACTTGGATGCCATACTTGTATCTAAGTGGAAACTCGACTTTCATATTCACAATAACTTCCGTTTGAAGCAACAATTGATTGAAGAAGATATCCTAGTTGATGAATGATGGATATTGAAATCTTAAGCTTAAACAATAGGATACCTCTTGAGCTGATGAGAACTCAATGCAACAACACCCTTAACCCGTTTTCAAACACAAACGTAAAACCTTAATTTACAAGCCTCAAAACAACCTTCATGCCTAAGTTCAAACCTTTTGAGTTTTTGAAGAGAAATCCATTTAGACCTGACTTGTAAAGCAACTTATTAGGAGAAATATTTAGATGAAAGTCATGCTTGGAGTTTCTAGAAATTGATGCTTAAGATAGCCATTAAGCCAAACCCTTAATTCATAAGATCTTCAGTTAAAACATCATCAAGATTAGGCATAAGAGGTTGGAAACCCTAATTCTTTGATCTTGAAGCTCATTGATGAAGAAAACCTTGCAACCCTAAAAACCCTAATTCCACACCAACGCACAGAGAAAAAACCCAGAAGAATCAACCTTATTTGATGTACACACTTCAAACCAACTGTGAAACCCTAATTCTTCAAGATCTCTGATCCCATGCCAAATTATTGATTAATGATACATGTTTTGTAAAATGACCTAATTGAGGGTATATACAATGGTGAGAATGAGATGCATAAGTCATATGATTTAATGAAAGGGTAGGATAAATTTGGAGTATTACAATGGGGCTTTTTGAGTTCCTTGAATTTAATCTTGAGTAACTCATGTTTTTCCATAATTTCAAGTAAACAGGTATTTAATTGAGAATGAGTAAGGTCAGAAATACCTCTTCTGTGTCGGAATCAGATTCTGCTTCATCTTCTAGAGGGATCTTTTCATAAAAAATTCTAACATGAGCTATTAGTGCCACGCTAGCGTGTTCTTCTTCTGATTAGTCTTCTGAAGAGTCAGAATCATATCAGGTTGCCATCAACCCTTTCTTCTTGCTCTTGGGGGCTTTCTTGTTGGGCTTGTCCCTCTGGAGTTCAGGACAGACATACTTGTAGTGTCCTGGCTCGTTGCACTCATAACAAGTGACTTCTTTTCCATTAGAATTTCTTTAACCTGAAGTAGACTCGAAGCGACCACCCGTCTTTCTTGTACTTCTGAACATGTTGCCTTGATTTCTCTTTCACAGACAGTTAACCCTTCTAGACAACAAAGACAACTCATCTTCAACTTCATCAAAATTTTCTTTTGAACCTTATTCTTCAGCCTGAAGAGCTTTGGACTTCTCAAATCTTCTGACTGATTTAAGCACAATAGATTTGCCTCTCTTCCGAGGTTCATCCTATTCTAGCTCAATCTCGTGACTTCTTAAAGAACTCACCAGTTCTTATAGAGAAGTTGTTTTTGGTATGGCCAAATGCCTAAGCATGGCCCAATCCACTTCTACATCCAAGATGTCCCAACAACTTTGGCTTAATCAATTGGAGAAGATAAAGAACATCTTTCCCCTTTGCCCTTTAACCGGGGACATGTGGTCAATAGTTCCCCCAGGACCAACGTGACCATCGCTAGCCTCGACAACACCCCTTCCCGTAGCTGCTCCTGCCCCTTGGTCAGGGACACATGGTTTGTTGTTCCCCCAGGACCAACAAGACCATATTTGTCCGCTCAAACAGGCTAGTCCTCATCCTTCCAGCCACACGAGGACAACCACCCATATCTTCCTGTAATCTCACCCTTGCTCGATGCAATAGATAGTTATGAGCACCTTTCAGTCTTCCCGACCTCAAATCGGCCAGACAACCAGGAACCAACCAGACCACTGTTTGTAACCCACCTCCTCCTCGGGACTAAACGGCTAGTTGCGGGCACATCTTCCTGGTTTGACCAAGTCCTAACAATTACCTATTTTTGCAGACCCGCACATCTAGGCCTAAAAATTGGGACCAATGGCCAAGCGCCAGGGGAATCATATAAATCCTCACACATGTGAGAGTCAGGTACCCAATATTCATCTCTGAAACCCTAATACTTTACTTGTATCTCTTTGCTCCCACACTTACTTGATCGTTGGAGTACCTTGCAGGTACAACCCCTCTTTTTCTCCTCAACTTTCCATCCCTTCAAAGATCATCATCCGGCCACCTTGTAGGTTCTAATCAACCGATAAGATCATAAGTGTTGTTCAAATCCTTTGCAAGCTTGAGTGAAGTTACCATAGGCCTCCATTTGGATGGCAAGCTTTTGATAATCTTCTTCACGTGATCTAGTGTAGTATATCCTTTATTCAGAACTCTCATTCCTCCAACTAAGTTTTGAAACCTTGAGAACATAGTGTCAATTGTTTCACCGTCCTCCATCTTGAAGGCTTCATACTTCCGAATCAAGGTCAGAGCCTTGGTCTCTTTAACTTGATCATTTCCTTCACGAGTCATTTTGAGAGAGTCAAATATAGACTTAACCGAGTCTCTATTATGATCTTCTCATACTCAATATAATAAATAAGATTCAACAAGATGGTTCCTACTTTATGATGATTATTACAATCTTTCTTTTGTTGATCATTCATGGTTTTCCTTTCAAGCTTCTTTCCAGCAACATCTGTGGGAGGATCGTAGCCATCAACTTTCGTATCCCAAAGATCAGCATCATGACCTAGAAAGAAACTTTCTAGTATGTATTTCTAGTACTCAAACTTTTTACCATAAAAATGAGAGGTTTAACATTGTAGTTATCTTTATCAGAAACTGGAACTGGTAGTGGTGGAGTAGGATCAACCATAGTGTTTCTAATACTCATATGGATCTTTATTTAACACAGTTAAGTGTTTGATAATAATCAATACCGGAACTGGAGATCTGATGTCAATTGAAGCTGCGAGAAACACAAGAAATTTGGGGTTTGAATTGGGCTACAGCAAATATAATCTTTTCACAACTCAAACATAAAGCTTAACAAGTGAATAAAAATAAATGAACCCAATTATTTTTATCCTGGTTCATTGTTAACCAAGTTAATCCAGTCCACCCTGCAAGGTGATTTGCCTTATCCACAAGGACTTAATTTACTATAATCAACCAAATACAGACAACCATAATAAGTCTGATCAACCTTGTTGATAATCCCCAACAAAACTGTCGATTCTTATTGCCAATCCACGATGACCGCAACCAAAGTCTTCTTAAGAATCCTGAGTCACTAAGTCTCTCAAGGAACCTTTCAATAATCGTTGATTTACAAAGATGTGTATAAAGAAATTCTTCTAATAAGCATATTACACAATGTTTAAGTATAGCAACATAAAAGTGTTGATAGCAAGATACGAACAAAAACTCCTTGCTTATTTACAAAACTATACAAAGAATATCTCAAAAGAGTTTGTGCAACGCTTTAGCCTAATTTTGTTGAACTGATTCGTTGATTTCAAATTCTTCCAATTCCTCCTTTTATAGCTGAAAAAGAGATACGTTCGAGTGTAGAATAGGAAACACAAAAACCAACAATTTTTTTCCCAACAATCATGTTGGGAATGGTAGAAACAAGTACAAAAAGTTTGTCCTTACATGACCAGTCACCATTTTTACTATATTTTTGTCACTTATCCAACAAGAATCCAGGTACTCAGTGGCACTTTGCTCATATTTGTTATTGTTTAAGCCAATTTTATTTACCTTACGTTATTTTCCAGTTTTATCGTTTTGCGCTTTATTTCGAATTTTTTACATGTTATGCTTTGGTTGTTTCCTTTTAATTGTTTGCAGGTACAAGCGAATCATCTAACAAGACTCAGTGCAAAAAAGTGGAAAGAAACCAGGATTTTGGTGAAAAATAGTTCAGGCCACAGGGGGTCTGCCACGGCCACCCGTGTCAACTGACACGGGCTGTGGCAGGATGAATGCTAACTTAAAAGTGCACAATGGGAAGATACTCATGGAGCAACACAACCACCCGTGGTGGCCGCCACGGGTCGTGATGGAAGGTCTGGGACTTGGAAATAATAAATGAAGAGGCAGAAGGATGCTAAGGCCAACCGTGGCATGTAAGACAACATGTGGTGGAGCATTACGTTGATTCTTATCTATTTTTGTCTTTTTTCCCAAGTGTCGACCCAGAGGGGAATTTCAGGCATTTCCGACCGGGACCAATGAATTTTCACTATATAGAAGAGTTTGCACGTAAGAAAAAGGAAATTTTTTGGCAAGCAAAGAATTTCATGATTGAAGATTGAAGCATATGAGAATTTTGAAGAACATAGACTTTTCATGAGCAGAAGCAATTGAAGATCAAAGTTCATCACTAATTTGTAATGTCTAAATTTCATGTTATTGAAATTACTTTGAACAATATGAGTAGCTAACCCCCCCCCCCTAATTATAGGGGGTGTCCCTGATTTAACTCTATAAACTAATCTGATTTCCGAATTTCAGTAATATATTTTCTTTTCATATTCAATTTAATCGTACAAGGTTTTTTATGCTTTCTCTATCGAACCAATAGAGATTGAATTATGGTTAAAAATTAGGTTGGACCACCATTGTTAAGGTTTTTGTGCGATTAAATTATAGTAGATATCACCCAGGACTAGGGACTCGGAATTTAGGATGAGCGATTAACCACCAAGGCTTTGGTGGAAAGTAAACTAAAGATCTGGTAATTGAGTATTTAGAACTTGTTGAAGAAATAAGGATTCAAGTTTATTATATGGAAAATCATACACTTTACCCTAGCATGTTCCTCATATCTATAAAAATATTCTACTTATATTTACTTATTCTTAATTGCTAATCTCAAAACAAAACCCATTTTAGTTTTTGTTTAATTGAACCATGCATTGAACTTGATACTTATACGCAATCCTTGAGATCAACATTTGAGGAATTTCCCTATTATTACTATAAAAGGAAAAATGGTACACTTGATATTTTTCCAATCATTACGCCACCCTATTAGAGTAGAGGTCACAAAGTACTTTTATACGCACCATCACACACAATCCCTAGTCTTGATCTTTGTCTTCTATGTCTTCAAAGGCTTTTAATTTGTATGTTGATGAAGCATATTGTAGAAGGATCATAACTTGCATATTTAGAATATAAGTCTTTGGGTCTTCAAAACTTGTTCAGTAGAACCCTTATCTTCAGAGTCTTTGGCACTTGGTATTCAGAAGAGATGTCTTCATATCTTTAGAAATCGTTTAACAGAACCTTATCTTCAGCATCTTCAGAACTTGGAACAACAGAAGTAAAGCTTTAGAAGGCCTCCAAAGCTTCCTTGCAAAAGTCATGATTAGAAGCTCTTGTACTAACATTCCTTATAACCGTTGCATAAGAAGCATTCTAGAATCTTTATTTAACTTATAACACACTAATAGGTATTCTTCCAGATTGTTGAGTTCATAGCCTGATGATGTCACACACTTTTTTACCAGAGTCAGAACCTGTTTAGCAAAATCTACACACTAGACAAAAACCATTAGAGTAAAAAATTGTTCTCTAGGATACCATGTAAAGTTATCATCAAAACTCAAGGCCAGATGGAGAACCAATCTTATTCTTACATGATGGAGCAATTGATTATAACCTTTTAGAATTATGAATATTTTATAGTTATGATTGCAGTTTTGATTCAAGTAGTAATAATGATCCAACTTACCCTATAATTTCTCCCATTATATACATGCTTACTGGTGGCGGTCAATTCTTCAAAAAGTTTAGAAATAAAAGATTTTGAAATCATATGTAGTAATACGTAGTCACTTAGAAGTTATGCCTACATTAGGTGTTTTCTTTTCATTCTACGACATTAAGACGATGGGTAAAGGAAAAAGGGTGACCATATGTCTTCTACATTAGAAGGTTCTTTTCACCCCTCATTTAAAAAACTAAAAGAACTGGAAATATATGTTGTTATAGTACAAGGGAGAGAAAACTGATCCATGGTAATATATGAAAATCGATTTCCCCTATACTAGACACATGACTCAATTCCAACAAATAGCTTCAACCGTAACTTCTTGAGTGAGACGGAGAGGGAGTTCGTCAATGGAAGAGTTCCATATTATAAGCTCTATTGAAATGGTGGAGTACGATCAAAATGATGACAATAAGATAAATGTTGACAATTATTTGCATAAGTTTTATATTTATTTGGGTGTTGCAATTGGAATGTTTACTTTGACTAACGTTTTTTATTTGTTTGTAGGGAGGATTGCTCCAATGACCATTGTTGAGAGGAAGACTCTTCATGTTAAGAAGAAAGCTTAGTGGGGAGAGAAGTGGTCTGATGGCCCTAAGAGTTTGTTTGAGAATTTAGAGAATATGGGAAGGGAGGGCTTCGAAAAATGATTTTTTTTATAAAAAAAATATAAAGAAAAATCTTTAACATTTTTTGAAATTTTTTGTGTGTGCATAGAATGATAAAAGATCCATTTAAAGTTTTTGTCTATTTCAAAACTTTTCGGAGTTTAAAAGCGGTTTGGTGAGCGGAAACACAATGTGTATAAAATTGATTATGCTTATCAGACAATATATACACAACACTTAAAACAGTATATAAATATAAAAATTGGATAAGACATACAACCAAAAAAATCAATAGGTATATTTAAATATGATTGTATTACACAAGAAGTGTAGGCGTACAATACTAATACAATGAGAATTCTAAAACCATAATTTTGAGTCTTAATCAACGACAAGAGAAATTTGCAGCACCAATCTAACAAAACCTACACTTATACATTAAATCGCTATCAAGGAAATAAACCTAACAACATGCAACTCTACGAAAGCGATATAAAAAACCTAAACATGCAATTATAATAAATTTAAATAGAGAGAAAAAAGAGTATGTCAGATGTATAGCGGTTCGACTGTGGTCCTCGCTAAGGCTACTTCAATGCCCAATGATTTTCCATTGAAAATTTTGGTCTTCCACTATAATTACCCACCTTTTTGATTATGACAAAAAGGGAGAAGTATATTCTCGGGGGGGGGGGGGGGGGGGGGGGGGGGGGTAGATTATACTCACTACTCATGTGAAGGGGAGTTTAACCACTCTAAGTTTTATCTATCTATTTTTATCTTTTATCACATCCCTTAGAGATGCGTTATCATAATAAAAAATGGGGAGAATGTGGATCTATATACTTGCAGGTATAGTCAATAAATGATCCAAGATAGTGAGGCTTATGATTAACAAAGATACAAGTCAACTAATATCTTCTTAGTTCTAATGATGGCAACACTTAAAGTCAAGCAACTGCTGAAGATAACTCAAGCAGTCAAATACATACAATATGGTTGATCAAGTTATCTCTCGAATCAAGCTAAACATTTGATTAAATTCCAATAACTTTCAAGTGAAGACTTAGGCTTGAAGAATCACCAGTGGTTTAACCTTTTAAATTCTCATATGATGGTAATCAACATGAAGATATCTCAAGCTTCAACAAGAAGACTCAAGATTCTTGTGTGATGATAAAGTCAAACATAATGATGCCCAAACTTGATGCTTTAGAGCGTGAAAGATAGGAGTTGTGAGAAGAATTTCTAGAAGGGCATTTTTATAGAGAATGTGAACAAGAGGATGGAACAAACTTGCATCTCATGACAAACTATAGAGAAATCGAGGTAAGCAATCCAGATTCTATAATCCACTCGACAAACCAAGATCACCACATAAACAACCCCAAAGCCCAACCCTAAAACCAAACTACGGTGATAGAAAACCTTAAATTTTGAAACTTGTAAATTTCAACATATTTAGAATTAAGTTGCGAATCAAAGGAAAAAACCAAACCATGAGCAACTAAAGTGACGCTAGACCAAACTAACGACGGATAAATCAAGATTTGAACGTCGTTAAAAGGAAACAATTGGTGTGAGGTCAATCTTCAATGTCGATTCAATGTCTCTTGTTTGTATGTTAAAAATCCAATTAAAATATTTGCTTTTTAATAATATTTAAAAATTAAAATAATATAATATTTATATTAATTTTTATTACTAAAAATGCGGAATGATGATATGAATAAAGATAGTAACTTATTGTTCACGTGAGTACTTTTTTTAAACCGATGAGATACATAATATAATTAAGGGTAACAAAATTGGTCAAATTCACCTAAAAAGTATGTTTTACCCACACTTTTTTGTGGGATGAGTTAAATCATAAATATTTCTTATAATATGTCGGTCCTGTCAACTTTATTTTTTTCGTGTTTTTGCGAACGTAGATATTAACATAAATTTTTTTTACAATTTTAGATTTTAAAAGTGTAAGGCCCGCTAGTCTACTCCACTTTCATTTTTACAGAGCAAGTCAATATTTTAAATATGTAACTTTAACAATATCAACTCTACTCATTTTCTTGCAAATTTTTACGCAATAAATTTAAAAGGAACAAACATGCTCGTTTAACCTCTTTAAATAAAGTACATTTCATTGTGCTTTCAATTATCTATTTACTAATATTTGAATAATAATTTTTTAAAATAATAACACATTAGTAATATAAAAATATCATTTCACTATTAAATCAATCGATAAATTACGACATCATCAAATAATTAATAATTTTTAAAATTAAAAACATAATTGTTTGATATCAAATATATTATATTTTTTCAGAAACAAGAATTATCTCTCAATATTGTTCTCCTTTTATTTTTTTTTGGTAAGAGATGATTTTTGGTCATTTTTAATTAGAAATCACTCTTCAATACCGTTTTTCTCTTTCTTTTTATTTAAATAAGTGATTTTCCACATAGATTTGTTTTTTTTTTTAATTTTTCGTCATCTTGTGTGTGATGTTTGTTGGTTTTTTTAATCTTAATACAGTGTTTATTGTTTCAAATTGATATATTCAATTTAACTTATTATAGATTTGATGAAGACTCGGACGTTAATATTATAAATCAAAAAATATGAATATTTTAGTTACTTTTATTTTGTCATATTTGTAGGCACTTTCATATTACCGTTATATGCTATTATTCTGGGTGTTCCAAGATTGTTTGCCGATTCACCTTTTTCAGTTTTTAACAATCTTAAATTTGTAATGATAAATGTAATTTTCAATTTAAAAGGATCAATATATTTTTTTAATCAAAAAAATATTAAAAACATTTTTCCTTAAAAAATAAGTTGAACTATATAACCAAATTATTAACTAAAGTTATTATTATAATTGCTCATCCATCCCATCAGATATAAGGTTTTAACATTCATAAAAAAAAAATTTACATTTAAACGAAAATAAATATCAAAATCGCACAAAAATTTATATTCACTTAATTTTTAAAATAAAAAATAATAATTAGCCAAAGATTAAAGAATTAAACCAAACATAAATTTAAAAAAAAAATGTAAATACAAAAGAAAAGATAGAAATTTGTTATCCTTATCTTCATCAGAAGGTGAAACTGAGCTCCAAACACCAACAAGAACAAAAATGGCACTTCAAACACACTTCACAACTTACTCCACCACCAAAACACATCACTCGTTCTCTCCCAACCTCACAGTGAGATCTGAAAAACCATCTGAACCGTTCAATTCAGTTCCCAGAAACTCCGGGGTGGGTTTTCGTCCGTCTAATGTGAACGCTAAAAGGAAACAGAAGAGACAAAGAGAAAGAGGTTCGATAATTCGTCGTAATCCAGTTGAAAAACCGGCGTTAGTTAAGGAACAAGAACCGGCGTTAGTTAAGGAACAAGAACCGGTTCAACAGGAACAGGGGGCTTATGAGAATGCTTTTATTCTTGCATGGCTTGGGTTTGGGTCTGTTATTCTTGTTGAGGGTCTTGCTCTTGCAGCTTCAGGTTCGGTTTTTTTTCCTTCTTATTCTTAATTTGAAAGCCTATACTCTTAATTTATTGGTTTTGTTTTGTTATGTGTGAATAACTTTAAAACAATAAATGTAGCAGTATTGAAAGAATTTCTTGTTGCCTGTGCCATTGGCAATAGAGATGTTGCTAAAATAATGAAAAGTATGAATAGGATAGTCATATATGATTTAAATAGAACCCCGGGGTTGATATGACATTGATATGTTGGTGAAGACTTGAGACATAAGAGTGTCTAACTCTCAAAAGTTTTATGGTCGAATTCCGGAAGGTGCTAATAATCTATGTGTTGGGTCAGTTCATGTCGAGCGTTGTTTGGGTTTTAATTGAGCTCTCGCTAGTAGACAATGAGATTGATCTCTGTTAAGAGTCCTACATCAAGAGTCTCACGTCGGACAATATATGATATGAACATGTGTTTATGAGTAGCGACAATCCTCACCCTACAAGCTAGTTTTGTAAGGATGAGTTAGACCTAACCACATTTCCTAAAATGATATTAGAGTCTAGTTCTGCTATCAGACCTCGCACCACTTATTTTTACGCTCTAGATGTCAAGCCCTCACATTTCTTAACAATCTTTGAATTAGTTGGTCCTAGAGTTGGATACCGAGATTTCAGAAGAAAACAAAAAACTACCTATGATATGAGACATATGAGACGAAGTTAGTCTCTTAAGTAAATCTAAGTTAGTCTCTTAAGTAAATCTTTGATTAGTCTCTAGCTTTTAGGGTGAGGGATACCTTTGTCTGTTGCCAGCAACAAAAATTAGAGCCGGCAAATATCATTGTAACCTACATATGATGCATAGACATGATATCTTTGTAAAAAGTAAAAACTACACAAAATATAATAAAAATTCATTGGAGCTTAGTGATGGTGATAAAAGATAGTTGTAAAAGTTAGAATATGACTGAAGAATTGATGAAATGGTGTTATAACTTGCACTTGATATGTAAGTGAGAAAATGGGCATTAGCGATTAGGAAATTTGGGATCTGGATGGGTGAAGTGGTGATATAAGTGGCATTTGTTGCAAATGAGTTAGTTTCAACATTCAACAAAAATTATTGTTGTCATTTGTGAAGAGCCACGGAGAAAGAGTTGGTCATATGAGGAGGAGACTCGACAACATCTCAAACGAGTTAATACTTCAGGATGATTATTGACATATTTAAAATTTTTCAGAACCAAATTAATATTTTCATTTAACAACTCTGCATTTTCTTCCAGACCAATTTCGGGCCTTTACGGCAACTTCGCCAAGCTATTGTATCCTAATGAGTAACTTGTGCTAGGCTCAAGCCCATAACCAAAGGCTTAGTGTCTTCTTACATCGATATTGTGGCTGATATTTTAATGTGTTATTGCAGGTTTCTTTCCTGAAGAGTGGGACAAGATCTTTGTCAAGTATCTTTATCCATCCTTTACCCCTACAGTTTTCTTGTTTGTTGCTGGAGCAATAGCATTTGGAGTGGTTAAATATAAACAGAATGAGAAACTCACGGAGCGGAAATAGCATGTTTGGTGTAGTAGTGTTAGAAACATTTGATGTGGTAACAGGGCATAAGTACTATGAATGTCGATGATTTTAATCCAATGGCTTCAGTTGAAAAAGGTATAACAGGAATGATGTCGTAATTAATTTGATCACTTCTTTTCTAGCTATGAAACTTCTTTTTATTATATTATGTACTGTTGGAACATGTCCATATTCTAATATTTTGAATTTAAAAATTTCTCAAGTCCCACATTGTTAGAATATCTTTTTGATTGAAAAAATCATTAAGTCCTACATTGCTCATGTGAGAAATATTAACTAACTTACTTCACTATATAATGAGTGCACATGTTTCATTCCAAATTACACTAAAAACTATTCTATTAGTTTTTCCTTCCTCACTCTCATAACTCTATGTCTCTCGAATTGTCGAAGCGTCATCTCCTTCTCCTTTCTTCTTACTCGTTGAATTTTTCGATTATTTTCTTGAATTCTCTTTAGAGAATTATGTTAATTTCTCCTCATTTGAGTTGAGAAATTTTCAAGTTTAATCTTTTGGATTCTCTTTGGAGAATTATTTGAATTTCTCTTTGATGGATAAATTGTTATGAGTGGTCAAATGACCATTATTAATTTCTCTTTGGAGAATTATTTGAGTTTCTTTTTGTTTGAGAAATTATTATGACGGGTCTTTGTACCAGATACTACGAGTGGTGATGATATCATATTTGAATGGTCTTGTACCATAAGAGGGTGTATTTCTAGACCGATTATCTACCATGCAAGTAGTAATCGTACAATATAGAACTGAGTTGTTTTATCCTGGAGGCGGTGCGGTAGTTCGACTGCTTTGCATAATTTTGAACAGTGCCGCAAAACGTTTTAAACAGAGTGACCTAGTCTGCGACTCAACTTGATAATTTCTTCGGTGACAAATATTTCAAAATCAGAAAACAACAATTTTAAGACGTTTTAAACTGCCATGGCTACCGAAGAAATTATTGGTTCTTTTGCGGATATTGTCTTTGAGAAATCGTTCATGTTTGAGGGAAGTCACTTCAAACGTTGGCAACAAAAGATGAAGTTCTTAACGTTGAAAAAAAGAGTTGTTGACGTTCTGATCGATGACATTTTGTTGCTCCTTTTGGATCAATTGAACAAATTAACGGTAGTAAATCTGGAGATTTAGAAGGAACACTTAATAGTGTTGAAGTTGAATCTGCTGTACAGATTAAAGCGAATGATTTACAACATAGGAAAGAAATCACATTAGAGAAAGAGAATGAAAATATCTAAAAAAATCATATTTTGAATAGACTCGCAGATGATCTTTATGATAATTACAGTTGATGTGATATTGCAAAACAAGATTGAGAGACTCAGAAAAAGAAGTATGACATAGAAGCTGGAGCAAAGAAGTATGTTGTTAGCCGCTATTTCAAGTATCAAATGCAAAGATGTAAGGTCGATGGAGGCTCAATGTTACGAACTTCAAAAGATTGCTTAAAAGATCATCACAAAAGGTATGTGTTTAAATGAACAATTTCAAATTGGTTTTATTATTGACAAACTACCCCATAGTTTGCATGTTTTAAAAAAAAGGGAATCTTAGAGACAATATTAAAAAGAAAAAGTCTTGGTTATTTCAAACAACAAAAAGAAATTTGGTGTAGTTCTGAAGCCATTTGACAAATGATTAAAGAATCAGAACCGCAATATTGTGAACCGAATTAAGAATGGGAACCCTTCTATGATCCCAATAGCTTCAACTAGGCAAGAACCACCACATAAAAGAAATGACGTTGGTCTCCCTTTGTTTTAACTATGGAAAATCAAGTCATATGACTAAGAAATGTAAAAGTAAGCTTGAACTTGGTGTTGTCTCTAATGCACAGGTCAACCTGACTAATGGGCAATTTATTATTATAGTTATTGAAATCAACATGGTTGATGGATATGTTGGTTGGTGGATAGACACATGCATCTCTCGTTGTGTCTGTTATGATCGTGTTATGTTTAAAACATACACGAATACTAAAGATAAGAAAGTGTTGTTGGGAGATGGCCAGACCACGAATGTTGCTGGATTTGTAGACATGAAGTTAAATTTCACCTTAAAAAAGACTTTAATCTTAAAGAACGTTATGCATGTTCCTAAGATTAGGAAGAATATTGTTTCTGGTTTTCTTTTAAATAAGACAGAGTTTAGTCAGTCTATTGGGGTAGATTTGTACGCCATACGAAGAATGAAGTTTATATGTTTAAATTTTTTGTAAAGAATTTGAAAATGATATAATAAGAATTTATAGTGATAGAGAAACTGTATGATTCTAGTTTATTAATGAATTTTATACATGGAATTGTACATGAAACGAATGCACCATACTATCTTGCAATGAATGGTAAAGCAGAAAGAAAGAATATAACTCTTACTGAACTTGTTGTTGCAATTATGATGAATTCTGGTGCTGCACCTCACTAGTGGGGGGAAATTTTATTGACTGTTTGTTATGTCTTGAATAGAGTCCTCAAGTCAAAATGTAAGATCTCCCCTTATGAGATATTAAATAAAAGACAACCAAACTTGTCTTATTTGAGAACTTGGGGCTATCTGGCTTATGTCAGAATTCCGAATTTGAAACGAGTTAAACTCGCTAGTAGAGCATATGAATGTGTTTTCACTGAGTATGCAAAAAACAGTAAAGCATATAGGTTTTATGACCTAAAGGCAAACGTGATCATAGAATCAAATGATGTTGAATTCTATGAAGACAAATTTTCTTTCAAATTGAGAAATAATGGGGCACACAATTGAGTCACATTCCTGTGATAAGAAGCACAGAAAGCAACGACAATGTAGAAACTGAACTTCGACGAAGTAAACGAGTAAGAGTTACTAAAGACTATGGGCTTGATTATGTGGCTTATAATGTAGAAGAAGATCCAATGAATCTTCAAGAAGCCTTGTCATCTTTGGATGCTGATTTATGGCAAGAAGCTATCAATGATGAGATAAAATCTCTAGAATCTAACAAGACCTGGCACTTAGTAGACTTGCCTCCTGGTTGCAAACCAATCGATTGTAAATGAGTTTTGAAAAAGAAACTAAAACCTGGTGGAACTATTGATAAATACAAGGCTCGCCTTGTTGCCAAGGGTTTTAGACAAAGAGAAAATATAGATTTCTTCGACACCTTTTCTCCTGTTACTAGAATTACATCCATTAGAGTACTTATTTCAATAGCTGCTATTTATAATTTAATAGTACACCAAATAAATGTTAAAATAACTTTTTTAAACGGTGACTTAGAAGAAATCTATATGGAATAACCAGAAGGATTTGTGATCCATGGACAAAAAGACAAGGCCTGTAAGTTAGATAAGTTTTTGTATGGGCTAAAACAAGCTCCAAAGCAATGGCATGTAAAGTTTGATAACTTAATGATATCGAATGGGTACAAAGTGAATGAAAGTGACAAATATGTTTATTACAAATTTGAGAATTGCATTTGCACTATGATATGTCTATATGTAGACGATCTACTCATATTTAGATCAAACATTCAAGCCATTAATGATATGAAATCATTGTTGTGCAACAACTTTGAAATGAAAGACCTCGGAGAAACGAGTGTGATTCTTGGTATCAAGATCACGAGATCCGAGCAAGGAATTTCTTTGGACCAATCACAATATGTGAAAAAGATCTTAAAGAAATATAATTACTTTGACAGTAAACCTGTGAGCACACCAAATGATCCAAGCGTGAAGCTGTTTAAGAACACTAGTGAAAGTGTTAGACAAACAGAATATGCGAGCATCATTGGAAGTCTTAGGTATTCCATTGATTGTATTAAACCCGACATTGCATATATTGTGGGATTGTTGTGCGGGTTTATTAGTAGACCGAGTAATGAACATTGACAAGCTATTGAGCGAGTCATACGGTACCTTAAAAGGACCATGAATCTCAGTTTGCAGTATAAGAGATTTCCTGTTGTACTTGAAGGATACAATGATGCAGATTGGAATACCTTATCAGATGATTCCAAAGCAACTGGTGGCTATGTATTCAACATAACTAGAGGAGTTGTATCTTGGAAATCAAAGAAACATACTATCCTGAGAATATAGCATTAGCGACTGCTAGTGAAGAAGCAAGTTAGTTAAGATGCTTGCTAACTGAGATTCCCTTTTGGGAAAAACATATGTCAGTTGTGTTGATCCACTGCGATAGTACCACGGCTATTGCAAAAATCGAGAACCATTATTATAATGGTAAAAGACGTCAAATTAGAAGAAAGCACAACACTGTTAGAGATTGTATCTCTAAAGGAGTTGTAAGAGTGGATCATGTACGCACTAATGAAAATTTAGTAGATCCTTTGACGAAAGGATTAGCTAAAGAGAAAGTCTATAATACATCATATAAGATGAGACTAATGTCTATAGGAAAATGAGTTGCTCATGATGGTAACCCGACCTAAATGACTGGAGATCCCAAGAAATAGGTTCAATGGGTAACAACAACTTGTGAGTAATATGAGATGATCATGCAAGTAAAACATAAATCCTGAAGTAATAAGAGGATGTGATAATAGAAACTCTTAATGAGATCTATACTCTGTATGAGGGAGTACCTAGGTTACATGAGTACTCTTGATAGACTCACCTATGTGATTGTGGAACTTAGGCCGATTCCTATGGAATTTCGAGACATAATTCCTAGAGCCTTCATTAAACTGGGATACACGTGCATGGCCATTAAAGCACGAGTTATTAGAATACACCTTAAAAAAATGTTGTGTGCGAGTTTGATGTCTGAGATAGAGTTCAAGACATTTTTGTCACTCTTGTTGAATTAGAATCCTACTTGCTATGCAAAGGTTCAAGTCGTAGACACCTTTGTTTATACACAATCTTAGAAACGTTTGACATTACTTCTAAAATCAATTTTTTAAATTCAAGTGGGGGATTGTTGAAACATGTCCATATTTCAATATGTTGAATTTAAAATT